AGTTTGTGTGAAAAGTGTTCTAAATAGAAACAACCTCTAGGCGTTTTAAACGTCCTTGAGTGATGATAATTTCTTTGTTGAATCATTCAAAAGTGACTTGTATTAGAATCGAAAAGATTTATTTGTTTATTGAAAAAATAGCTAAAGTACAATTTATAGGATGGTGTGAATAAATGTTTAATGATAAAGACAAAATAAAAAACATATTTTATTTATTTTGTAGTTTAATGTTAAGAACAAGAAATTAAATTAGTTTTTTTTCGAGTACTAATGTAGTTTTAAGGCAAATCATGTTTTTTGATTTTTATTATAATTAAGTGACAAAAAATTTGCAGTCTACTGTTAAAAAGCTTCAAATATCCATAATTGTTTATTTATCACATTTTAACACCAGTATACTAATAAACAATTTTATTTATTTATTTTTTTTTTTTTTTTGCTTAAAACAATCGATCACTTGTAACAATCCAACAACATTCCCCATTAAACAAAAAAAAGCAACAAATTTATAAACAAATTCGAAAAGTTCAAGATCATAACCCAAAAGAAATAAAATATAAAAACAGGTAGCACTTTAGGAAAACTTTTTTAAGCTAAACAATAGAACAAATAATTGACCAGCCAAAAACAAATCAACAAATTATTTATTTATATACAAACATATTTCTGTTTGTTTAAAACAAGTCTTGTAAAAGTGTCATATTAAAAGATTAAATAAATTTGTCAAAAAAATTTCTTAATAATTCCCTATCTAAATGAATAGCCAATACCAAAGTCCTTGTGTGAGGCTTAGAGAAGTTATTAAAAAAATTCATTAGAATAACGAAATAAAAATATAATTAAAATTTATCTCTAAACAGAAAAACAATAACAAGATGATGAATGAATAATTTGTAAATTTGACAAATGTGTTGAGTTACTTGTGTGTGTTTTTTTTTTATTTTCAATATTTAACAGACATAGGAACTTGATTTAATTTATAAAAAACAATAACATGCAAATACACTTACAGAAAAAATACGATAAATATGTACTTAAGAAATGCATTTAATAAGATTTGAGAAAGTTAGATAAAAAGTATTTTTAAATCAGAATATTCGAAATCAGAATATTGAATATTTCGAAAAGTTTTCTATTTGAAATAAAGTCCAGAACTAGAACCAGAACGGAACTAGAACTGAACTAGAACTGAACTAGAACTGAACTAGAACTGAACTAGAACTGAACTAGAACTGAACAAGAACTGAACTAGAACTGAACTAGAACTGAACTAGAACTGAACTAGAACTGAACTAGAACTGAACTAGAACTGAACTAGAACTGAACTAGAACTGAACTAGAACTGAACTGAACTGAACTAGAACTGAACTAGAACTGAACTAGAACTGAACTAGAACTGAACTAGAACTGAACTAGAACTGAACTAGAACTGAACTAGAACTGAACTAGAACTGAACTAGAACTGAACTAGAACTGAACTAGAACTGAACTAGAACTGAACTAGAACTGAACTAGAACTGAACTAGAACTGAACTAGAACTGAACTAGAACTGAACTAGAACTGAACTAGAACTGAACTAGAACTGAACTAGAACTGAACTAGAACTGAACTAGAACTGAACTAGAACTGAACTAGAACTGAACTAGAACTGAACTAGAACTGAACTAGAACTGAACTAGAACTGAACTAGAACTGAACTAGAACTGAACTAGAACTGAACTAGAACTGAACTAGAACTGAACTAGAACTGAACTAGAACTGAACTAGAACTGAACTAGAACTGAACTAGAACTAGAACTGAACTAGAACTGAACTAGAACTGAACTAGAACTGAACTAGAACTGAACTAGAACTGAACTAGAACTGAACTAGAACTGAACTAGAACTGAACTAGAACTGAACTAGAACTGAACTACTAGAACTGAACTAGAACTGAACTAGAACTGAACTAGAACTGAACTAGAACTGAACTAGAACTGAACTAGAACTGAACTAGAACTGAACTAGAACTGAACTAGAACTGAACTAGAACTGAACTAGAACTGAACTAGAACTGAACTAGAACTGAACTAGAACTGAACTAGAACTGAACTAGAACTGAACTAGAACTGAACTAGAACTAGAACTGAACTGAACTGAACTAGAACTGAACTAGAACTGAACTAGAATTGAACTTCAACTGAACTAGAACTCAACTAGAACTGAAGTAAAAAGGATTTTAAGTATTTTTTAAGTATTTCACGGTTTTTCCGCCTTATGTCTTTATTGCTATTGGTATACTATTTATATGGATGTGTTCACATCAATAAATATCAGGGTGTTGGTCTTAATTGCAGATTATGAAAACATATGACTGACTGGATTGTTCGTTCGTTTTTTTAAATTTGTCATAAACATTTCACAACAGCTGAGTTTTTAGGTTATTAAAACGATTAGTACTTTTGGGTTGTTATTTCTTATAAGCTTTTTTATGTCTAACCTTCTCACGGATATTCATCAAAAGGACGAAGTAGGAGGAAATAAGAGTAAACACCATAAATTCGCTATTCACGGTGCATGAATGAACAACAAAAGAGCAAGGTTCAATATTGATCCAGTTTTTCTAGGAAATACAATCCAAAAAACAAGCTAAAGTGGAAACACAGCCAACAGTTAAAGGTCCTTTACTAATTGCGAGAAGGGAATGAATGCTGACTGTATGTGTGTGTGTGTGTGGAAAATGTAGGGGGTTTTTTGGTTTGAGATTGTGGTGGTTTTATTATTAAATACTACAACATTTTAGTATGTTCGTAAATTTTACGAGCAATTCAGAATCGTGCACGCACGCAAAACACACTTTTTTGTAGTTTATTTTTTTTTGTTGCCAGTTGGTTTTACGATTTCTACGCCAACATCATTTAAATGCACACATACAAATATACAATGACTATTTAGTGGCAGTTGGAAATTGGAAAAATTGTGTTACAATTCAACAGTTTTAAAAGGAATCAATGTACCGCTTTTTGGCTCAAATTTTTATATATCTATTGTGGGTAATTTATAAGCGTTCTTTAGGTTAAACAGAGAGTAATCTAGAGAGATGATACTTTATCAGATATCTATATAGTTGAAGTGAAGGATGTCTATAGTCTTGATGAAAGGACAATTGACCTAGTCATTTAGAAAATTCTGAAATCAGTAATCCTCTATAACCACCCCGAACTGTAGGGATCCGAATTGTTCTTCAAATGTATATATGTGTATCTGGGTGTGTTTGTGTGTGTATGTACACAAACCATTTACGATAATTTTGCTTGCTCTTCCAACATGTAGCATGAAACATGACAAGAAATGAAAATGAAATTGAGCCAGCCGCCATTGTGCCACGTCAAACTGGCGCCACATTTTTATTACGATGGCAGTATGGCTGTTTTAAAAATTGTTGCTTTTTTATTCTTGTTTTTGTTGCGAAATACAAACAAAAAACTACTATTACTAAACACACACACACAGATATACACACTCATACAAATACACAAACATAAGCACCAAAGTTTAACACGAACTTAAATGTCCTTTTTTAGTAACTGAGTTTGTGTTTGTTTGTTAGTTGGTGGGTTTCTAAAGAAGTTAGTAAAAGGAAACCCCCAGTAGATAAGGCTTAAACTGACACACTTTGTATGCTTTACAAAAGAAACTATTAAAAAAGAGTCCCACTGTGGCTTCCATTTGTAGTGGTGGTGTTAGTGTTTAAGTTGGTTGGTGTTATGGAACAGTTTGCACTATAAACCATTTACCATATTGATGGCCTTGTCGTTGCTGTATTTCTTTTTTTCTTTTAGTTTCTTTTGCCCGATTTTCTCTTTTTAAATTGATGTGGTTCTCGAAGGCGTTGGTGTTTTTTACATTTAGTTTTATTTGCCGTATTTAATATGTATGTATGCAAGTTAGCGGAAGATACCAACAACTATTTTATTTATTTTTTTTCTTTTTTTTGCAAATTACTTTAACAGCCAAAAGCAACTTTTAAATTGTCATCATTGTGTTAGTAGTTTAGTTTTAACTTTTAAATAAAAGAAAGTTTTTTTTCTTTAGAAAATAATAATAAAACTTAAATATAATAAATGTGGAATTTACCTTAAATGTAAAAAAGAAATAAATTTATCTTAATCATACGTACGGGTGTACAATTTGTACATCAAGGCGTATGAATGTTATTAATCATTTAAAATGTTTTCTTTTGTTATACTCGTATGTTGGTGTGTGTGTGTGTGTTTTGCATTATTTTATTGTTTAATTTTTATTAATATATATTTTTGTAGTTGATTGTTTTAGTAAATTCGTCTACATTTTCTTTTATGACCTTCAAAGGATATAAATACATAAAAGAAAATTAATGTCAAGCACATATTTTAGTCATTAGTTTTGTGTTAAATTTAGTTTGCAAATGATTTGTAATTATTTTTTGTTAGAAAAAAATATGTCAAAATATTTAAATGTCAAATAGTAAAAAATCACTAACATAAAAAAACTGACAGGAATAAAATTTCAGGTAAAAGAGTTGTTATTAAGCTTTGATTTTTTATTAAACTATTATGGGGACGTTCAGCAGAATTAGAAAAACCCCATTATTTCTCCTAGATTTTTGGACCCGTATGAGTCCTTCTGAAAATAGACAAATGGTATATCAAATGAGAGGTGACCCTTCATCTACATACATATGTATATATATTAGAATTAGGAAAACCGCATTTTTTCCTAGATTTTTGGTCCCGATATATCTTCTGAAAATAGAGAAAATGTATATCAAATGAAAGGTGACCTTTCATATACATATGTATGTATAGCCAGTACGAAAATGTGGGTTTTTGAGGATTTTGATTTTATCTCAACCATGTTTGTACAAAATTTTAAATTTCTTTGTAAAAATTAAAAAAAGACATTATAACTCTATAAGTTCCTAACTTTTAAACAAAATAACGAAAAATGTATAGTAATAAAAAATGCAATATTTAATTACCTGCTGATTTAACTGATGACTTTTGTTTAGTGCTGATTTTGGTTAATGATCTGAAATTAAAATAAAATAGATAAATTATTAAAAATCCAATAATTAAAATCAATTTTAAGATTAATACAATTTTAAATAAATATCATGTGAGTAAAAAAAGCGACAATTTCTTACTTAATATTAAAGCAAGACGACACTCACTCACTTCCACTGACTTTCCATAATACTCAAAGACAGCGGGGATTAAAATTAAATTAAAGACAATAATAATACGTTGAGAACACAACAAGACCGCAACAATACATTACGTTGTTGAGAGCTTCAAATGAAATATGTACTTGATTACCGGTGTTGTTGTTGTAACCTAAAGTTTTTTTTTCTTACTATGTGTCTGTCAGTCAAGTCAATACAACAATTTCGTACAAACGTAATGTATTCACTCAATACCAGGCGCACAAAATTATGCAGAATGTTTCTTTAGAACTTAAATAAACAGCAAAATGAAATGAAAAGCAAAAAGCAACAACAAGAGCAAGAACACATACATAAGCTTTTGAATTAAACAAAAACAGCGACCGAGAATACAAATAAACATTCGTACACACATAGATACATATGTACATGAATATAAACATTAAGAAGCCACCTTTATATTGTATGCATAAATGTTTTGATTGTGAATGGTTATGGGGGGCTGTGGGGTTCGAAGAGTAACTCAAAGACAGAGCGAAAAAGATAAACAACAGACCCCAATTCCATTACATATACACATGTATGCTTGTTTGATTGTGTAGTGTAAAGAGACGACAAAGTTATCTTGTGGATTTGAGGGGGGTTTTGGCAAGGTAGAGGAGTATTTAACGAGGTGTTTGTATTAAGTTATTGTTGTTGTTGTTGTTGGCATTTATATTAAAGCTGTTAAAGGCTCTATAAATCTACTTTTGTTATTGTCATATACCTTACCCTGCTGTCCTCCCTAGCGCCCTCGTTCTAGTGCAGCAGTTACTTTAATGATTTTGTACAATAACAATTTATGGTATAGTGCAAAATATTTGTTAGAGTTATTGTTGTTGCTTTTGCCATAATCTTCGTTGTCGTACAATCATATAAAATACTTTTTTTTGTATGCCTTCGGTTCTGAAAGTTTCAGATGATTGTTGTTGCTTTTCAAAACACATACATATTTGCGATTTTTATTTGTTGTTGCTGGTTTTGTTTTCTCTAGCTATGTGCGATTATTTGACTAACCCGACCAGAGTGAAACTTCGTTTGTTCGTCTTTTGTCGTTGTTTGTAGCGGTGTGCGACGTCAGGACTGGTTTTAGCCAATCAACGTTTAGCATGGCGTGATCGTTGGCAAATCGTGTTCAAGTGATGATGAGAGTATGGTCTAAAAATAGAATTTTCACATTCACAAGCATTTGACGAGTCTTAATGAATGTTAGACCCACTTTCAGTCTAACATTTTGTCGTTTTGACTTGGCGTGCGCTTCAACTTTGTTATTGTATTTCTTTTTTTCACATATTTTGTGTTTTCAAAATTGATTTTTGTTGGTCGTTTGGGTCTTTGGGGGGGTTTGTTGCGGGGCATTAGCTACCGACTTTATGTGCAAGTTGTTGGTTAGTTGTTGGGTTGGTCGGACAATTTGGCGTCTCCACTCACTAGTAGGGTAGTCACTTAGAATATGTGTTAGTTGTGTGGATTTTAATAGTTTTTTTATTTATTGTTATTTTTTGCTATTCGCTTGCATTTGTATTTAAATGTTTTTATTTATTTTTGTTTTTTTTTTTGCTTTTTTCTGTTTTTGTATAGAAATACCCCGTGTTTGTGTGTTTATGAGTATTTTTATTAATTTACAATTTTCAACATTAGACCGGTTGCGGTTGTTTGCAATTTTATTATTATTATTTTTATTTTTGCTTTTTTAACTTAGCTAGGAGTGGGTGGAGGAGGGGCAGTATAAAATGATAAATATTTTTTTTAAATGATTTTAATATTGCTTGAGTACGTGTGTGCTTAACGTATGCGGCCCAAATTGTTTGTGAATCTTTTAGATCCAACAAGTATCTTTTTAAGTTAATTTTTTTTGTTGCGTAGCCGCAGTAGTCTGTCAGAAATGTTTCGTCTGCTTTAAATATTTATTCTGCTCTGGATGTTTTGATTTTTTTTTTTTGTGAATTTTTCTTCTTTTTTGTTTCATTTTCCTGTACTAAACTTTTCTAAATTGCTTTTTATTATTTTATTTTGTGAAGGCGTAAAGTAGTGACTTGACACAATCCCTCATCATCATCATATGCTCCAAAAGTCTACATATACAATTTTTTAGTAAAACGTATTTTTGATTGATGAGTGGAGAAGCTGTTTGACTTACTGACTGAATGAACAAAATATTTATATAACTTACAGAGGCCCCAAGAACGGACACAGAAGTATGCTTAACCGACAGACTACTCGATAATATATATTGCATGCTTGACTGCCTCAAAGAGGGAACTTGTGTACGTACATACATTCGTTCCCCGTTTATTATGTGTAAAAAGCATTGTTATTTATTAAAACAGCATAAAATAAATCCCTGTTTTAAAAGTTTTTTTCTTTCATTTTGTTTTAGTTTATTGTTTTGTTTTGTTTTATTAAAACAAGCATGTGTATGGAATGTAAAAATTTTATTAAAAAAAAAATCCACAAAAAAACACTTAAAGTCGGAAATTAGGTTAATGCAGTGAATTGTCATCGCAAATTAAAATCATGCTCTTGGGGCATTTAATAACAGTTTTGTGCAAGTTATTTTTGGAATTTTCATAAAGTGTGATCAATTAATATGACATATATTTAAATATTTAAGATACATTTTAAAACAAATATTTCAAGGCTAAAGTTAGTCTGTAGTAGTAAATATTAGTTTTTTTTTCTTTAAAAAACATTAGTATATCTTAAAATTTTATAAAATTAATTACAATTTTTATCAATGTTGTAAATTGTTTATAATTATCATATAATCCCAGGGCAATCAAAAATACACGCCTGGTACCAAATTAACACCAAATTTTCCAATAACATGTAATGTTGACCACGCACCATTGTCTACATTGCAACAATTCGTTGTAGCAATCTAAATTTTATGCACCTCCGTTGTCTAAAAGTTAACAAACGTGTTAAGCTCAAAATCCGTTGTCAATAGTGAGCTTACCACGCTTGTTTACTTTTAGACAACGGATGTGCATAAAATTTAGATTGCGACAACGAATTGTTGGAATGTTGACAAAGTTGCGTGGTCAACATTAGATGTTCTTGTATATACTTGACAACGGATGTTATTGAAAAATTTGATGTCAATTTGGTACCATTTTATTTTGTTGACATTTTTGGTTACTCTGCTGATAAAATACTAAAAATTGTTTTTAATTTTATCAACTAGAATAATAGCTCTCAGCATATCAGTTAAATTTTCCAAGAGATATCAATGTTTAGAAATATTTTAGATAGTTTTATCTCTATCTAAAGGTATTCCTTTACGAAATGTACTAATGGCCGATTATCTTTGGAATCAAAGAACACAAATTATAAAGCAAATACCTTGACTTAACCCATTAGGTTAATAAAGAACTTAAAAAGATCATATTTTAACAGTTTGCTAAACCAGAAATTTAAATAAATAATAATTAAATTAAAGCAGAATATTTTAACGAAAAAAAATTTAAAATTCAAATATAAAGATATCATAAATAAAGACGGACTTAAGAAATACCAAACCCTAATCAAAAACTAACTGTGTAAACCGCCATTAAAATTATAAATAAACATTTTAACGGGCTCACCTCAACTGATTAAAATCGCATGAAGAGGTGTACGTGAATATGCGGAGTGACCAATATGACTTGGGACCTTATCTATCCAAAAGGTTGTTTTCAGTGAAGTAAGAAACAAACGAAAAAAACTGAAAGATAAGAACAAATTCAACAAAAATATGTTGTTTTAGCATTTGTAAACACTCGTGTTCTGTGGATTTTGCAATTTATTAACAAATACGTCACTTTATAGTGTGTTTGATAAAGATAAGAAAAAAATAATCGAAAAAATATGTGCATTCGTCAAAATTATGAAGCACAATTCTATTTAGCGAAATGAGTGAACTATATGATTCGTAGTGGAAGTTTTTTTTTTCGCCCAACAAAAAGACAAAACACAATTATAAAGGTTCAAAGTGCCAAAACAAAATAAAATGCGATTAAAGATATTCTTATAGTTTATAACAATCATAAAGTTATAAAATACAAAAAAATTAAGATAAAAAAGAAACTTAAATTAAGGTTTCTACAACATTTATAATTTAAAGTTAAATTTTGGTAAAGACAAATTTCTTTAAGCCCTGATAATGATCATTATTTTTAATAAAAAAAATAGATTTTTTTAAATGTCTAACCGACAATTGATGATGATTCTTAAGAATGACTAAGTTAGAATACGTTGTTATGTACTTTAAAGGCGTATTATTTTGTTGTATGTTTTATGATTTATGAAAGTCATAAGACTCAACAATCATAAAACATCAAAACGTTTCTAAAAAAAACCTCTTAACTTTTTGAGAAATAAGCAAGAAAACAACATTACTAATCCCTTTTTCACACCGATAAGCAGTTGCATAAATAATTTTACTCATAGCGTATGAGTTTTAGGACTTTTGTTTGATTTTCTGTCTTTTTTTCTGTTTTATTTCGTTTTTTTGGGAGCTGCCAAAAAAATCACAAAAACACTAATCAAAACAACAACTAACACCAAGCACATTCAAGGTCACCTCCTGCGCATATAGAAAACTTAAAAAATACAAACACAAAAATCACTTAAAACAAATACATACTCACACACACACACAACAAAATTACTATATGCATTTGTTGAAAAATCATTTAAATGTTGATGACTAAACCTGGCAAATGCATTAAAGCGCAAGCGCAACTTAAACAGCAATAACAATATTTCAGAGAGACAGGGTGCTAAGAAGAGTTCTTTTCTCTCTTTAACAAACAAAAAACTAACAGGAGCTTAAATAAATTTTTGACCTTCAACTTCATTTTGGAACCAAATCCAAAATAAAAAAACAACAACTGTTTCTGCCAAAAATACATATTGCAGTTAAAAATAACAATTTTCTGTTGTGGAATATGTACGAGTGGGTTTGTGTGCGAGTTTGTATGTGTGTGTGTAAGCATGATACTTTTTTAATGTTTAACATGCATTAACGTTTTTTTTGTTTTGTTGTTGTTTGTTTTTCTTTTTATTTTCTTTTCTTTATACCGGCATTAGTTGTGTATTAGTATTAGTTTTAACTCTTCATTTCATTAGGTGTGTGAGAGAGATACTTATGAAAAGCAGAGAGTAAAGCTACAAAGCTTTAGTTTAAATTAAAAGCTACAAAATTTACAATTATTATTCGTGACTTTTGTATATTTTTTTTAATTTTATTTTTTTTATTTACTTGCCTAACCCACTCTTCGTTTTAGCCGCTGTGTAACTGTGTGTTTCTGTGTATGTCCATGTGTTTGTGTGAGTTATTGTTTTTGTTTCAAAATATAAAAACGTGCTTTGCTAATATTATTTTTTTATCTAAAGTTACTCATTTATATGTGCAATGTTGTTTTGTATCTTTTCAAAGAATTGTCAATAAAAAATCACACTCCAACTCACAAACTGTAGTTAGGTATTACAAATGTTTAAGAAAACCACAAGAAGGCACAGTGGTTAGATTGGAAATATTTTATTTCCAAGTGGACCTACATATAGGTAAGCTTGCTTTCAGCCTCAGACTCTACTGAATGAATGATGTATATAAGTTGTAGAACCGTGAAGAAGAACAACATAGCTATGTATATAAATAAGTATGGTCCGGGTCCACTTTATTAATGACTTTAGAAGTCTTAGAAAAGTAATATAATGGATATTTTGAGTTATAGAGCCGAAATCAATTACAAAACTTGAATCTTGAATCAGTTTTGAAGTGTTGGGTTTAATCTATTATGGCATTAAACCATATTTTTATATTCAAAATCTTAGTCCCTCTAAGAACCACTGTGCCCGCACACTGACTAAAAACAGCTAGAAAAGGTGTTATATTTGACCAAGCCGAATCTTATATACCCACCATCAAAACTTTACCGAGATACTTTAGGAATTTATTAACACGATTTAGTTTGAAATGAGGATGTATGTTGCAACAAATCCCAAGGAAATACAACTAGGCCTCCATCGAGTCCAATGTGTCGCTGCTATCGAACTCACGATTTCCGGTCTGACAGACTACAACACTAACTACTAAGCTACCGGAAGTACTCATTACCTCGATATTTATGATAAATTGTTTTATAATTAACCGATATTAATGCTTATCAGTCGAAATTTCGAAAAATGGCCTTATATAGAGGGATGGGTTAGTTATGGAACGAAAACTACAGTGATTCATTGATCGCTGGTAGGAATCGAACTCACGATTTCTGGTCTGATAGACTTCAACACTAACTACTAATCCACCGGAAGTATCCATTAACCCGATTTATTAGATTTATGCTGAATTTTATTAGCATATAACGACATTAATGCTCATTTGTTGAAATTTCCGAAAACGGCCTTATATAGAGGCGTGTGATAATTATGGAACGAAAACTAAAGAGATTCATTTCATAGATCAAAACATTTTTGTCGAAATGGTTTAATATCAAAGATTTTAGGAAATTGATTAACAATAAGCTGATTATCTAAAGAAAATGTTATATCGGGAGTAGGGTCATTTATAGACCTAGAAAGATTGTATTTAGGGTAGGCACTTGTAGCGTGGGCAATGTAAAATTTTGGATTGATATGGTCCATTTTCAACAACAAACTTTATCAAAAGATAATATGTATTTGTGAAAAATGTTCGACCTCTAGATCCTACCGTTTTTGCTGGAGGACTGACATGGTTAGACCTAATAAGAACCCCGAATATACTATATACATTTATAGGTCTGCTATTCATATTACAAACGGAATGATAGAATCGATATACCCCTCCTAATTTTTAATGGTGGGTATAAAAATAATAGAATTCACATGGTTTTGCTAAAGAGATTCGTGTTTTTGGTAAAAACGTATTAACTTTTGCGTTTGCGCCGTTACTAGATATATAATATTAGATAAACAAAAAAGTGGTTGTTTATTAACAACCAAAAAAAAAATAGTCAAAAAAAGACAGCTCTCCCAACTATTTTTACATAGTTATAACCACTTCCAACTTACTACTTCTAACCATTTAACACTTTACCCTCATGCGAAACAAATTTTATACACATGACTACATTTTAACATTATTAATTACAAACATACTCCAAAGTATCTAAGTATCTACTATATGGTTAGAATACTTACAGCTACATTATACTTCCATTGCCTTAAGAATACTTTTTTTTTTTTGAATCTGTTGTTTAATTTTTACTCTTTTTTACGGTTTTGTGCGTCTTTTTTAGCTTTTTGTGTTAAATTTTCAAATGTATACAAAATAAACTATAAGATACATTGTAAAAATAAACTCTCCCTTTTCATACGCTCTGGAATTCTCTTTTTTTATACACATATTGTGTGTGTAGTTTTTTTTTTCGTATTTTGACGATTGACTTTATAGCGGTTCGGTTTGGTGTGTATGAGTGTTTTTTTTTTTTGTATTTTGTTCAGCTTTTTGCTGTTTTGGAACACATCAAAACAATAAGTGTTTCAGTTCTTTTTAAGTTGTAGTCATGAACGTATCTTGTAGATGTTGGATATAGATAGATATTTATAATAAAATAACAACAACCAAGAAAACATAAAAACAACAACAAAAAAACATAAACACACACAAAAAATAAGATATAAACAAACAGAAAAAATAATTAAAAAAAAAAACTTGAAAATATATTTTGTTTATTTTAATAAAATATTCGCATAAAATAAATTCTCACAACGAGTGAGGAACCAAAAACAAAAAAAATATACGACAGATACACTACACTACTTAGTGAGAGAGAACATAAACCAACCCCCACATTTAACAACAACAAAAAGTATCTAATGTTTTTTTTTAGTATAAAGAACAACTGCATGTGTATGGTGTGGCCAAACGAACAGTAGAGTTCTGCTTTCCAAGACACTTCGTTATGTGTCTTTCGCCTTAATGCTGAATGTTGTGTGTATTTCTAATGACAATAGAACTGACTGAATAGAATCGAATCCATTCTATATAGTAAATTCTTCGTTTTTAACGTTACGTTACATTACGTTAAGTTCTGGTCGGTTTATCGTTTATTCGTATTCGTGTGTTTCGTAAAAATTTGTTTACTTTATTGAGTGTCTGAGTGTGAGTGCATGTATTTATTCGGGTTTGTACATTTTGCTAATTCTCATAAGAATTTATTAGATTGTGTGTCGCCCAAGTGAGCAAACGCTTTGTAGTTAAGCCAAACGTCAAGTTGTGAAAGACAGAATATAAACACCCCTGCTCCCTCCTCTAGCACTAATGCTCTCACTCTCCAAACCTTTCAGCACACACACTTACTCATTTATTCGGTTTCCTCGCTGTTAGAACCATAGAGGAAGAATAGAGCATGTTCACAAAAAAAGAATACAAATATAATTTTTCGCAAAACGTTAACGAGTGTTTAGTATGATTATAAGCGTTTATTTAAAAAGCTGAAATTGACGCGTAAGCAACACTTGTGCTCTAAAACAAAATAACCAAGTTAAATATTCTAAAAAAATAACTAAAAAAAGTTTTGAAAAGTTTTAATTTTTAAATTGAAAATTGTATGGAATAGAAAAAAATAAACAACTTAAATCTAAATTAATGAAAATCTTTAATGTCTAAATAAAAACTTAAATGTATGGCCTTTTTTTCGGAAATATTAAACAAAACCAAATAAATTATATACTTAATTTTTTTATGTTTAAAATTATTATTTAAAAAGTGGTCATGCTGTAGTCTTTAAAGTTTTTTATTAAAATAAGGCGTGTAATTCCTTTAGGAATGAACCCATTTATACGCTTTAAATTAAAACAAAGTTAAAAGAAAATTTTTATAAAAATATAAAGTGCCTCTTAATTTATAAAAAAAAATCAAACACAAAGTGCAATTTAATAAAAAAAATTAAAACTTCAAATAATTTATAATTTACTGCAAAGCAAACATAAAAAAAATTCTAATAATAAAAAGTTTATAAAGTTTATATAGTAAAGAGAAAAAAAAACGTTAACCACAGTGCCCTTATTCAATGATTATGGAAAAATAATAGCAAAAATAAATTAAAACAATCATATTTTTTTTAAAAAAGCATTAAAATTAAATCCTTCAACAAAACAAACCTCTGGACTATTGCCATCTGTCAGCAATTATATAATTTATTATTATTATTATTCCGGTTTCGCTTGTTCTCAACGCATTGAGAAAAAAAATTACATAAGTTTTGAATTGTTTCAATTTCAATTATACTTTTATCTGTGACTACCGCACAACAATAACAACAAAATAACAAAAACAACCGTAATAATTAAAAAGATATAAAAACTATAATAAAAAATATATATTCTACCTTTGGATTTACCTTTTAAACACTTCAACATATTTTTGCCTGCTGTATTTGCTGCACTGCACACTGCTGTAAAACTGTTTCGTGCTGAAGTCAAATCAGCTGTTCAGCCGCAACAACAACAACAACGACAACAAATAATTACGGTAAGTTTTACCGAGTGAGTGTGGCATGCAAATGAAGGGCTATTAGGAAAACGTACAGTGGAAATTACGTGAGAAAAAAGTGAAAAAAAAAATATTTTTTAGTTTTTTTCTTATTGGCTTGATTTCGAATTCGAACATTTAGCAATACATTGTTGTTTTTTGGAATTAGTTTTCTTATTAGATGTACTTAAACTAGAATCTCTGCTTAAGCGTCATAGAGTAAGAAATAGCAAGAAATAAAAATATGGAATTCTCGTTTATCATTCCTAATACATCTAGAAACTTTCCTAATCCATGCTTAACCGTCAGATTTCTAAAGAGAAGAGAATTAAGGGATCTGATTAGCGAGAAATCATTCCTGATACAATTAGAAACATTTCTAATCCTTGCTTAAGCGTCCCATTCCTTAAGAGAGGAGAAGAAACACAATAGTGTTTAATAGTGAACCTAATGTCTCTCTTTTCTATTCTCGATTTTCATTTTAATATTGAAATATTTCAAATCAATTGAAGATTTCGTTTCTTTATCATACCTAATACAACTAGAAACTTGTTTAATCCCTGCTTAAACGTCAGATTCCTAAAGAGAAGACAAGAGAATTTAGGGACCTGACTAGCGAGAAATCATTCCTGATACTACTAGAAACTTTCCTAATCCCTGCTTAATCGTCTGATTCCTAAAGAGAGAAGAAGAAACACAACAGTATTTAATAGTGAACCTAATGTCTCTTTTCTCTCGATTTTAATTTTAACATTGAAATATTTCATATGAATTGTAGATTTCACATCTTGATCATACCTAATACAACCAGAAACTTGCTTAAACGTCAAATTCCTAAAGAGAATTTCGATATCTGGCTAACCAGAAATAATAATATGCAGTTCTTCTATATCATACCTGAAACAACTAGAAACTTTCCTAATCCCTGCTTAAACGTCAGATTCCTAAAGAGAGAAGTAACACAACAGTATTTAATAGTGAACCTAAAGTCTCATTTCCGATTCTCGATTTTAATTACAACATTGAAATATTTAAAGATTTAGTTAAAAATACACAGTTTCAAAGTTGTTATTTGATTTGAAAAGTCAATGTTTTTTCTATAAAAGAACATCTTCAAATCAGTATAAGATTTCGTTAGAAATAATTTAAAATTTGTTATATAAAATTATGAAATTCATTTATTATGTGGGTGGGGTGATGCCACAAAAATTCATTATACCCTACACCACTATAGTGTGGATGGTATTATGCGTTTTTGCTCATTTTTGTAACATTCAAAAATATTGGTCCTACACCCAACTTAAAATATACCAATCGGGTCAGAATCACTTCCTGAGTCGATTTAGTTATGTCCGTCTGTCTGTCCGTCTGTGTGTCCATCTAAAGCTTGTGCGCACTCTATAGGTCGCAATTTTCAAGATAATTTGATTAAATTTGGCTCATACTCTTCTTTTGACCTAAGAACGAAGCCTAAATGGTTAAAATCGGCCCATTATTTCGTATAGTCCCTATACATGTTTTTTACATTTTAAATAAATTTCTTGAAAATTGAATTTTATATTATAACAATATTCCAAGCTAAACAAATTTATAGTTATTTGTAAATTTCCAAGAAAACACATCAAACGTTTTAAAGAAAATAATAATAAAAAAACACATTACAAGTGTACAAAATTTATTCAAAATCACGAAATTGCACAAAATAATGTGGAAATATATATAATAGCGGAAACTACACATTGTGTTTGAAATATTTGAAAAAAATCATTTTTTCTTAAAAAAACACTGTAAATACATTTTATGCTTTAAGAAAATTTTAGAAAATTGCTGATTTTTTCATAATTAGTTGATTTTATTATAATTTAGTTGGGGGTGCTGTTAAACACAGACGTCATTGCAGCAAAACTTAAGGAAATATCATTCTAAATTTAATATTTTTTTAAATAAATATATAATGCAAAAATATTAATATTCACACCATAATTTAAAATTCTCTAAACACATTTTAGTAGAACAAAAATTTTTAAATACAAACACAAACTTTGCGTATTTTTTGTGTAAAAAAGAACAGCAATAAAGGCAGCTGCTTTTAATTGTATAAAGAAGGAGCCTTTATAAATGTGTATGTGTTAACAGGTGTTTTCTTTTTCCTCACATTTTCATTTTAATATTTGTTTTATAAATTTCTAATATAAACAAATAAACAACAAAATATTCATTGGAATAGTGTCCACTGTTGGGAGCAGCACAAAAATATAACAAACAAACGTGGGCCTCACGTTGTTGGATTTTTTTTTTCTTGTCCAAATGTATTGTTTAAATATAGGTATTTAGAGAAAAAGTTATATATATTATATTTAAAATTTATTGTTATACCTACAAATATACCTATAGACACATAAACACAAATTTAAATAGTAATAGATTTATAATTTATTTCAAACACACGCGCTTAAGGAATTTTTTTTTTAATAAAAAATAAATTTTTCAAATTTAATTGCACGACTACAAAAGCAAAAACAATTATAAACAACTTTAGCTGTGCGGCAGTTTGTGTGTCTGTTTTCTTTTTGCAAAAAAAAAACTTTTTTTATTTGTTTAAATAAATGAATAATATTTTTTTTTTTCATTTAAAAGTCCAAAATAAATATTTTTGTAGAATAGTTTTGGGGTTGGCTGCTCTTTTTTTTTTTTGTTTTAATAAAATATATCTATAATCTGTTTTTTTTTTGAAAATTTCCATTTTGTTTTTGAATTATGTGTATTTTATTTTGGCATTTGTTTATAATACATTAAAACCATAACAGCGCCACAACAAAATTTTTAAGCAAAAATTTTCAAAAATTATGTTATTTTTGTGTATTGGTTAGCACAATGTCAGAGACGTAATGAGTAATATTTTTTTTTTGAACCAAATTTCGTTAATAAATTATAAATATTAATAAATATTTTTATTAAAAATAAAATTCTGTTTTTGATTTAAAATAATAAATCTTAAAAAAAAATTAAAAGAAAATATAAATATATATATCTATATAAAAGAGAACAAGTTAAAAATGAAATGATAAAAAAATGCAATCTTTAAAAAAATATAATTTTACTGTGAATTTCTCTCCATTTTCTTAAAAAAGTACTTTTTTGCAAATGAAAAAATAGTACTTTAAAATTATCTTAAAAGTTTTGAAATTAATTATTATAAAGAAGTACTTTTTTAAGGTACCATTAAACCTTGAAATATTGTAGCATTTCTTAAAAGAAGTACCTTTTTTTTGAACAATGAAAAAAAGTACTTTTTACACAAATTGTATGAAATAGTCCATTAAGAAACTTAAAACACTTGAAACTTTGTTGGGAACAATAAAATCAAAAAAAGTAACTTTATGGTACTTTTGTTAAAAAAAAATTACCTAAACCTTAGCAAGAGGCTTTCAAAATATTAATACGATTTTTTTAATAAAGTACTTTTTTAAAAAAGTACCTTATGGTTAAATAATACAGATTTATCGTTTTTTATTTCATTTTAATCATTTTAAATTTCTATTTTCTTGAACATAAGAAGAAAATACTTTTTAGGAAAAAGTACTTTTATCAAAAAAGTACCTTATAATCCAAAATTTAGAAAACTATTTATTCATATTTGATTTCAATTTAATTTATATTTCTATTTTTCTTACTGCATTTTCATAACTACAGAGAATATAAAAAAGTACTTTTAAAGAAAAAGTACCTTATAGTTCAAAAAAGGGAAAATTATTCTTCTTAATAATAATGATTTATCGATTTCAATTCTATTTCAGTTTTAGTTTATATTTTTCTTACTGTATTTTCATAACGACATTGAATTTAAAAAAGTACTTTTAAAGAAAAAGTACTTTTCTCAAAAAAGTACCTTATAGGTCAATAAAGGGAAATTATTCTTAATAATAATAATGCTTTATCGATTTCAATTTGATTTAGTTATTTTATTTTTCTCACTGCATTATCGTAACGACATAAGAAAAAAGGACCTTTTAAGAAAAAGTACTTTTTAAAAACAGTACTTTTCTCATAAAAGAACCTTATAGTTCATGCATATAATGCTTTATCGATTTCAATTTGATTTAGTTTTTCTATTTTTCTTACAGCTTTTTCGCCACGACCTAGAATATAAGAAAAAAAGTACTTTTTAAGAAAACGTACTTTAAAAAAAGTACTTTTCTCAAAAAAGCACCTCATAGTTCATAAAAAACGAAAACGTTTGATTCTTTTTGATAATATTGATTTATCGATTTCAATTAGTTTTTTCCCCTTTTTTACATAATATTTTTCTCACAGCATTTTAGTAACGATCCTGCACTTCATCCGTTCTATTACTAATTCGTACAAAATTTTTATTTGGTGTGTCGCAACTTGAAATTTCCGTAGTGAAAATAGACATATTAAACAAAACATCAGCACACAGACAATTGATTTTAGTTTTAACACATGTTACAAACAATTTTTATAACAACGTCTCATAAAATTTTTGTTTGTAAACGTATAAAAAAAATTGTTTTAAAAGAACAATAACAACAACAACAAAACAACAAACACAGATACTATTGAGGGTGAGATTTAGATACAATACAACAACAATAACGACAACAGAATAGAATTAAGTTGCAAACATTTTAATTTTAGTCATATGTGTCTAACTTTGTGTCCCACTGTGTGTGTGTGTGTATCTTGTCTGTAACTGTGTGCATAACGAATTGCAAAAATGTTTTTTTTTTTTTTGATGTTGCTGTTTTGGATTCAACTAAATGCGTTGTTGAAAATCATCTATGAATATAAAATGAGGGTGGTGGTTCAATGATTTTCACAGATGATATTCTATATTATTCTTACGTTGAAAGCAGCTATGGGGGGGAATATTAGAATAGATATTGAGAAATTGATTTAAATGATAAGGGATTTTTTGCATACAAATACACACATACACACATGTATTGTATGTATGTTAGATTAAGTCAAAGTTTTAA